GAGGACATTGTAAGGACTGGCATTTACAATAGGTGATTTGAGTTATTAAAGTGTTTGGGTATAGGAGGTACATGATGTAATTTGTATTTTGAGTGTATTATACTTACTGAATGTGTAGAATAATTGTCAATTACTGAATGCTGATGCAGAGAGTATAACTGAGAACCTGCTGCCTTAATTTGGGCAAGATAGATGGTAGGAATGGCAACAGAGGACAGAATGCAATGGCCTGGGAAAGCGGTAGAAGATGGCCCAACGCCTGGGTCCCTGCACCCGCATGGGAGACCTGGAAGAAGCTGCTGCCTCCTGGTTTCTGATCGGCTCAGCTTCAGCAGTTGTGGCCATTTGGGGAATGAACCGGACAATGGGAAATTTCTCTCTCTCTCTGCCTCTCTGTAACTCTGCCTTCCAAATAAGTAAATAAATCTTTAAAAGTGGGGGTTAGCAGAATTCTGAATTGGACATAGGGAGAAAGAGAGAGGAGTAAAGACTGGCATCGTGCTCTTTGGGTTTGGATCAATGTAAAAAGTAAAGTTGACATTTTCTGAGATGGAAGAAAGTGTGGTAAGTTCGAAATTCTGAAAATAATCAACTATAATGGTCATAATTGCACTCCTGTCATTTAAAATATTTATCTATGTATTTGAAAGTTTGAGTTACAGAGAGAGAGAGAGAAAGCCTTCCATCTGCTGGTTCACCCCTAAATGGCTGCAACGGCCTGAGCTGGGCTGATCAGAAGCCAGGAGCTTCTTCCTGGTCTCCCACACTGGTGTATCTTCTACTTCTTCACCAGGTGCATTACTAGGGAGCTAAACTGGAAGTGGAGCAGCCGGGACTTGAACTGGTGTTCATATGGGATGCCGGCATTTCAGGCAGCAGCTGTACCTGCTACACCACAGCACCAGCCCCTCCTGGCATTTTTTTAAAGCAGACATGAAGTTTACAACTTTCCTATTGAGTTCTCTCTTTATTTTTCACTGTAATAATAGCTGATGTATACCTCAAATATCACTGCTGAATGAATGAGTGACTTTATTAAAAGAAGTAAGTTTCATGCATGAGAAACCAGAGGCTTAGATCACAGGCTGAGATATCAGCACATCTGTAACTAGAGCTCAAGGAGTCTGACTTCTAATCCACGGCTTTTCTTACATGTCTTTCCCCAATACTGTCTTCTCAGTTTACTTGAATTAGTTGGGTGAAACTAAACTGAGATATAAAACCATTGAATTTTCCTACATCCCAACAGCAGTCACCCCCTAGCTTTTCAGTTTTCAGGACAAACTTCAACTTTGTTTTCCCAGACTTCATGTGCACATACCCAGTTTCCAAAGGAAAGACCATGTACTTGTCACTCTGTTACATCTCTCTATTCCTGTTGCCAATATTTGTATCTGTTATCTATTGCTGTGTACCACATCACCCCCAAAATATATTTCTCAAGACAGCAATTTTATGTTTTCACAGTTCTTCAGATCATCAATTTAGCTTGGCTGAACTGATTCGGAGGCAGCAGCAGTGCTCAAGTTCTGTGTCCCTGGCACCCATGTGGGAAACCCAAATTGAATACTAGGCCCCTAGCTTTGTCCTGGCCAAGTTCTGGCTGCCATGGGCGTTTGGAGAATCAACAAGTGAAGGAAAGATTTCTCTCTCTTTCCCTCTCTCTCTCCTTCTCTCTCTCTCTCTGAAATAAAATAATAAATATAATTTTAGAAATATTGCTGCAGTGAGATGTGTCAGCTTGCTGACACGACCTCTTTCCTATCCTGTAAAGAATCCTGTAAAGAACTCATAAGTCAGTAAAGTCATTAAAGTTATTCTACTGGTCTCACCAGGGGCCATTTTTGTGACTGCCATCAGGTGGTGTGTGGGCTAGGAGCTTGCTGGTCTGGGGGAACTCACACAAGACAGTTAGTGTTTGTCTCCACTTAGGCTACCTAGGTTCTTTACAGGATAGGAAAGAGGTTGTGTCAGCAAGCTGACACATATCACTGCAGCAACATTTCTAAAATTATGATTTATTTTATTTCAGAGAGAGAGAGAGAGAAGGAGACAGAGAGAGAGAGAGAGAAATCTTTCCTTCACTTGTTGATTCTCCAAACACCCATGGCAGCCAGAACTCAGCCAGGACAAAGCTAGGAGCTTAGTATTCAATTTGGGTCTCCCACATGGGTGTCAGAGACTCAGAACTTGAGCACTGCTGCTGCCTCTGAATCAGAAATGTAGCTAAGACTCTAACCAGAGCTCTCCAATATGGGATGTGTAGCTAAGACTCTAACCAGAGCTCTCCAATATGGGATGTGTAGCTAAGACTCTAACCAGAGCTCTCCAATATGGGATGTGTAGCTAAGACTCTAACCCGAGCTCTTCAATATGGGATGCTGGCCTCACAAGCAGCATTTTGATTGCTGCTGCTATAAAGCCCACTTTCAGAATCCTTTCATTTTTTTCTGTACATTAGATGGATACATTGTATAATCCTCAAATAAGATAGCTGAGATTTCCATTTCCTTAAATTTATTTCTAACAGTTGTTAAAGATATATGCCTCTTGGATACTGGGTACAATGCAAGATTCCAATACATTTATGAATATACAATGTGCACTAGTCAAATCAAGACAACTTATATCTCCAGTTCTTCATTTGAGGCTTCTGAGTGCCTCCTTTTTGGGTATTCATAAATATATTATAGATTATTGTGAGCTATAATCTACCCATTTTCCATAAAACACCAGAAATTATTCCTTTCATGAAACTATATGTGATACTTGTTATCTAACCTCAATCTCTCCCCTCCCACCCCCTGCTTTTCTCAGTTTCTAGTAATCATTATTCTATATTCATATTGACTTTGATTTGTTAGCTTCCGTATATGGGATAAACATTTTGAAAGTCTTCTGCTGCATCACATTTGCTAGAAATATCTCATGCCCTAAATTGCATTCCTGCAGAGAGGCAGATCCTGATAGAAGGATGTGAATGGAAGTCATTCCAGAGGGAAATGAGTCCATTGAGCACTGGTAGGCCATTGAAAGTGAAACATGGAAGGAAACGAAGACAACGAAAACAAAAATATGGGATTTTTGCACATATTATCACTATGAGCAATTTTGGTTCAATCCCATGAAGGGTCTCTAAAGACAGTATAGATTATGTCTCGGGATTATTCTCTCCAAAAGGTATAGATGATAGCATTTTTTTGGCTTAACCCTCAGTAAAGTGATGGCTGAATAGCAGCGATGTGCCCCAAGCACTTCTGACTTGCCTTGTGAAAAGGTCAGAAAAAGTACTCAAGCCATCACATTTAGGTACATTTAGGTGCCATCAACCTATACTGGAACAGTGAATGCAAATAAACTATGGGCATTGCACTCACAGTAACTACGACCGTTACAAAAATCCTACTATATCCCTATTCCTATGCTTGACATCACCATAACCAGGCGCCATAGTGCAGTAGGTTAATCCTCCACCTGCAGCACCGGCATCCCATATGGGTGCCGGTTCTAGTACTGCCTGCTCCTTTTCCAATCCAGCTCTCTGCTGTGGCCAGGGAAAATAGTAGAAAATGTCCCACGTCCTTGGGCCCCTGCACCTACGTAGGAGACCCGGACCAGCGCAGTTCCAGCCATTGCAGTCAATTGGGGAGTGAAACAGGGGATGGAAGACCTCTCTTTCTAACTCTCCTCTCTCTGTGTAACTCTGACTTTCAAATAAATAAATAAATCTTTTTTTTTAAAAAAGCATGATTTGTTACAGTATTCATGGGTACCTAGTATAGTGAGATAAATCCAACACTAGACTATAAGCCAGCAGCTAATAATCATGAGATAGCTTAGCACAAGAGCTATAGGAGAGCCAGCGCCGTGGCTCAATAGGCTAATCCTCCGCCTTGCGGCGCCAGCACACCAGGGTTCTAGTCCCGGTCGGGGTGCCGGATTCTGTCCCGGTTGCCCCTCTTCCAGGCCAGCTCTCTGCTATGGCCCGGGAAAGCAGTAGAGAATGGCCCAAGTGCTTGGGCCCTGCACCCACATAGGAGACCAGGAGAAGCACCTGGCTCCTGGCTTCGGATCAGCGTGATGTGCCGGCCGCAGCGCGCTGGCCATGGCGGCCATTGGAGGGTGAACCAACAGCAAAAGGAAGACCTTTCTCTCTGTCTCTCTTTCTCAGTGTCCACTCTGCCTGTCAAAAAAAAAAAAAAAAAAAAAAAAAAAAAAAGCTATAGGAACTCAGAGGAGATGTCAGTTGGGATAGGTATGACAATTGAGCCATACTTCAGTGACTAGAAATTGGTGACATTTAGTGAAAAAGGCTCCCACATTGAGTCCTATCTAAATAAAGGAAAGCTCAGTCAAATACAAAACGTTTGTTGAACAGTGAACAGTCATTTTATGTGGAGAATATATTATGTTTGTGGTATGATTTAAGATAGATTGATTGTGAGTCAGACAATAGAATGTTTGAATTATCAAGCTTCGAATGTGCATTTGATTTTGTCAACAGTAGAGAATCATTGAAGATTTTGAGAAGAGAAATGGCATGATCTATGTGCATTAAGTGAATCAGCGTGTCAAGTAAGTGTTGATGGAATGAGTGGGCAAAGATTGGTGTTATAAAAATCAAATAGGAGGTTACAGCAGTAATCTAGTGAAGAAATGGAAGTTTGAGCCAAATTAGGGGCAGTGGAAATAACTAGTAAAACAAACAGTTTCACTAGATCCATTAGAAAGAACCCTCGGCAGAAAGTTAGAAGATACAGATTTTATTCAAGCAACCAATTTATCTTTTCTGATCATCATCACAAGAAGTGTGAACATGAATTGAGTTTTAATATATGTTTGACTTTTAACAATCCATATATTTTTCTGCTTTCCAGGATATTAAACACAAAATCACACCTTAAACTCAAAGCACTAGACTCAAAGGAATACCAAGAAAATGAAGGCTGCCAGCTCTTTTCTAAAACATGCTGACTTTCATGTGTTTCTTTTCCCTCTAGTATTTACAACTACGATTCAACAAGCCAGTTCGCTATGCAGCAACAGTCATTTACATAATCCAGACGGTAAGAAATAATGGCTGATTCCATTGTGGAAACTGGGTTTGCAAAATACAATTTTGCTTATTGGGGGTACGATTATTTGAAAGGCAGACATAATACTAACAAGAAATTACTTCCTTCAGAGGATAGCACTTTCAAGACATGTGACTGGTGAGAGTTGTACATATTGTGTAGAATCTGTAAATCTGGACCAATGATAAAAATAATGTACATTGTAGACTACCAGAAAAAAAATTATTAAAATGATTTCCTCTATTTAATCTAGATAAGTTATTTATATATGGGATGGTCTAATAATTGATTTTTTCCTTTACATGTCTGCTTTGCTTAAAGTCTTTTCTAAAAAAGATTTAGTTATTTATTTTGATAGTCAGAGCTAAATAGAGACAGGAGATCAAGAGAGATCTTCCACCTGCTGTTTCACTCCCGAGATGGCCATAATGGCTATAACTGGGCCAGATCAAAGCCAGGAGTTAAGAGCTTCATTTGGGTCTCCCATGTGGCTGGCAGGGGCCCCGGCACTTGGACCATGTTCCCCAGTCTATTAACAGGGAGCTGGATCAGAAGCAGAGAAGCCAATACTCAGACTGGCACCAATACGAGATGTCAGCATCTTAAGTGGCAGCTTTAACCACTATACCACAGTGCTGGCCCCTGATGAAAATTTTTTAAAAACTAAATCCTAAAAAATACTCATATTTTCCCTTTTTTAAAAAAAGATTTATTTTTATTTATTTGAAGACAGAGTTACAGAGAGAGGTAGAAACAGAGAGAGAGGTTTTCCATCTGCTGTTTTACTCCCCAGATGGCCACAACAGCTGGAGCTGCACTGATCTGAAGCCAGGAGCCAGGAGCCAGAAGCCAGGAAACTCCTCTGGGTCTCCCATGTGGATACAGTGGCCCAAGGACGTGGGCCATTTTCTACTGCTTTCCCAGGCCATAGCAGAGAGCTGGATTGGAAGAGGAGCAGCTGGGACTAGAACCGGCGCCCATATGGGATGCCGACACATCAGGCCAGGGCTTTAACCTGCCGCGCCACAACATCAATCCCCATATTGTCCTCTTACAGGCAGCTTTTCCACTTGATTGGCTTTGCAGGGGACCTCATACGTACCATGCTTTGTACATTGTACTTTCTGCTTCTTGCATTCTTTATTTAGTGGAGCATTTAGCTTGTGATTCTAAAGTAAGTTGAAAAAAAATGTTACCGCCTAAATTAAAAGAAAAATAAGAATGGAAGGAGGATGGAGGGTGGGAAGGAAGGAAGTAAAATGGGAAATGTCATTATGTTCTTAAAATTGTATATATGAAATACATGAAATCTGTTCTGTTTATGTAAATAAATGAATAAATAAATAAATTTCTTTTAAGAATGAAATAAATAAAGTGGGGATGGAATGCATTTCCATCAGTGCAATGGTTACAACTCTATGAGTTGGAAGATGTATTGATTATGTAGCTCACTCACATTGTTAGTCTTTCTTCCACAGTACTTTTTCTAACTTTTTACTTTAAAATATATATAAAGGAGGGGGTGCCTCACGTGGGTAATCTTCCGCCTGCGGCACCAGCATCCCATATGGGCATTGAGTTCTAGTCCCAATTGCTCCTCTTCCAGTCCAGCTCTCTGCTGTGGCCCGGGAAGGTAGTGGAGGATGGCCCAAGTACTTGGGCCCCTGCACCCACATGGGAGACCAGGAGGAGACACCTGACTCCTGGCTTCAGACCAGTGTATCTCCTGCCATAGTGGCCATTTGTGGGATGAACCAATGGAATGAAGACCATTCTCTGTCTCTCTCTCTCTTGCTTTCTAACTCTATCTGTCAAAAAAATAAAGAGTTGTTAATCAACTCTTATATATATATATATATAATATATATATAAAGGAAACAAATTTTGTGTATTTAATATATACACAGTTTTGAGAACATAATGATAATTCCTACCATGCATTTCTTCCCTCCCTCATTCCTACCCTTCCTACTCTTTATTTCCTAATTTCTTCCAATTTTTAAAATGACATTCTTTGAATATAATAATCACAAACTTAAACATCCACTAAATAAAGAATTCAACAAATAGTAGCTAGAAAAACCATGGTTCCTCAGGAGTATAAAAAAGGGCTATAAACAATAATCAAATTTCAAGATGTCATTTTCATTCATAAACTTTACAATTTTTTACATTATGTGTTAGCTACCACAAATCAAGGAAAACATCTGATATTTGTCTATTTGAACTAGCTTTGTTCACTAAGCATAATGATCTCCAGCTGCATCCATTTAATTGAAAATGACAGGATATCAATCTTTTTTATAGTTGACTAGTATTTCATCACACCCAACCCTCCATATATAAATAAATAAATATATATACATATATCACATATTTTTTATGCAGGCATCAATTGATCGACTTCTGGGTTGATTCCATGTCTTAGCCTTGTGAGTTGAGCATCTGTAAACATGGAGGTACAGACAACTTTCATATGCTGATTTCATTTTGTTTCGATAATTTACCAGGAGTGGAATACCTGGTTCATATGATAGATCTGTTTTCAGATTTCTGAAGAATCTCCATATTATTTTCAATAAACGCTGAGCTACTTTACATTCCTACTAACAGTATATTAGGGTACTTTAATTTTCTTTCAAATTTTAAAATGACTTTTTTATATTTACTTTAATAATCACAAGCTTAAACAACCACATGCTAGCATTTGCTCTATTTTGAGTTTTGGATGATAGCCATTCTAACTTATGTGAGGTGAAACCTCACTGGTTTTTATTTGCATTCCCCTGATAGCTAGTGATTCTGAGCATCTTTTCATGTTCCTGTTGGCCATTTGTAGTTCATCCTTTGAAAAACACATGTTCATATCTTTTGCCCTTTTCTTTTTTTTAACTTTTATTTAATGAATATAAATTTCCAAAGTACAGCTTATGGATTACAATGGCTCCCCCTCCCATAACGTCCCTCCCACCTGCAACCCTCCCCTTTCCCGCTCCCTCTCCCCTTCCATTCACATCAAGATTCATTTTCAATTCTCTTTATATATAGAAGATCAGTTTAGTGTATATTAAGTAAAGATTTCAACAGTTTGCACCCACATAGAAACACAAAGTGAAAAATACTGTTTGAGTACTAGTTAGAGCATTAAGTCACAATGTACAGCACATTAAGGACAGAGATCCTACATGAGGAGTAAGTGCACAGTGACTCCTGTTGTTGACTTAACAAATTGACACTCTTGTTTATAGCATCAGTAATCACCCTAGGCTCCTGTCATGAGTTGCCAAGGCTATGGAAGCCTTTTGAGTTCACCGACTCTGATCATATTTAGACAAGGTCGTATTCAAAGTGGAAGTTCTCGCCTCCCTTCAGAGAAAGGTACCTCCTTCTTTGATGACCTGTTCTTTCCACTGGGATCTCACTTGCAGAGATCTTTCATTTAGGTGTGTCTGTAAATTGTCTCTTTTTTTTATTAAAAATTTACCAGAGTGTCTTGGCTTTCCATTGCTGAAATACTCTCATGGGCCTTCAGCTGGATCTGCATGCCTTAAGGGCTGATTCTGAGGCCAGAGTGTTGTTTAGGCCATCTGCCATTCTATGAGTCTGCTGTGTATCTCGCTTCCCATGTTGGATCATTCTCTCCCTTTTTTTATTCTGTCAGTTAGTATTTTCAGACACTAGTCTTATTTATGTGATCCCTTTTTGCCCTTTTCTTAACTGTATTGCTTGTTTTGTTGTTGAGTTTCTTGAGCACTTGATAGATCTTGAATATTATTCCTTTATCAAATGTAGAGTTTGCAAATATTTTCTCCCATCTTGTTTGTTGCCTGTTTATTTTGTTCAGTGTTTCCTTTACTGTGCAGAAGATTCTTAGTTTGATGTAATCCCATTTGTCCATTTTTGCTTTTATTGCCTGTGATTCTGGGGTCTTATCCAAGAAGTTTTTACCTATTCCAATGTCTTACAGTGTTTCACCTATGTTTTATTTTAGTAATTTTATGGTTTCGAATCTTAGAATTGTATCCCTGATCCATTGTGAGCTGATTTTTGTATAGGGTGTATGGGAGGGATCTTGTTTCATACTTCTGAATGTAGAGAACCAATTTTCCCAGTACCATTATTCCAAGAGATTTTTCTTTCTCCAGGAGTGATTTTAGTTCATTTTTCAAAGATTAGTTGGTTGTCAATGTGTGAATTAACTTCTGGGTTCTCTAGTGTGATCTATTGTTTGACATGTTTGTTTTTATGTCAGTACCAAACTGTTTGGATTACAACTTTCATGTAATATGTCTTGAAATCTGGTATTGTGATGCCCCCACCTTTATTTTATTGCTTAGCATTGTCTTAGCTAATTGGGGTCTCATGATTTTGTATGAATTTTAGAGTCAGTTTTTCTAGGTCTTAAAAGAACATATTCGCATTTTAACTGGAATCTCATTTATTTGGATAGTATGGACATTTTGATGATATCCTTTCAATCCATGACATGGAAGATCATTCATTTTTGTGTGTTTTTTTCTATTTATTCTTTTAAAGTTCTGTAATTTTCTTTTTTTAAAAGCTTTATTTATTTATTTACTTATTTGAAAGTTAGAATTACAAACAGAGAGAAGGAGAGGCAGAGAGAGAGGAGAGGCAGAGAGAGAGAGAGAGAGAGGTCTTCCATCTACTGGTTCACTCCCCAGTTGGCCACAATGGCTGGAGCTGCACCAATCTGAAGCCAAGAGTTTCTTCTGGATGTCCTACATGGGTGCAGGGGCCCAAGGAATTGGTCCATCTTCTGCTTTCCCAGTCCATAGCAAAGAGCTGGATCGGAAGTGGAGCAGCTGGGACTTGAACCAGCACCCATATGGGATGCCGGCACCGCAGGCAGCAGCTTTACCCACTACACCTCTGTGCTGTCTTCATCTGTGATTTTCATTTTAAAAGTCTTTCACGTCCTTAGTTAATTTTATTCTAATGTATTTAAATTTTGTAATTACCTTTGCAAA